GGCCGCACCTCGAATACTGTGTTCAGTTTTGGGCCCCTCACTACAAGAAGGACATCGAGGTGCTGGAGCGTGTCCAGAGAAGGGCAACGAAGCTGGTGAAGGGTCTGGAGAACAAGTCTTATGAGGAGCAGCTGAGGGAGCTGGGGTTGTTTAGTCTGGAGAAGAGGAGGCTGAGGGGAGACCTTATTGCTCTCTACAACTACCTGAAAGGAGGTCGTAGCGAGGTGGGGGTCGGTCTCTTCTCCCTAGTAACAAGGGATAGGACGAGAGGAAACGGCCTCAAGCTGCGCCAGGGGAGGTTTAGGTTAGACATTAGGAAAAACTTCTTCACCGAAAGGGTAATCAGGCAATGGAACAGGCTGCCCAGGGGACCCTAGAGGTATTTAAAGAACAGATAGATGTGGTGCTCGAGGACATGGTATAGCGGTGGACTTGGCAGTGATAGGTTAACGGTTGGACTCGATGATCTTAAGGGTCTTTTCCAACCTTAACGATTCTATGATTCTATGATTTAATATCTTCCTGTAAAAGCAGAGAATAGATCTGCACACTTCTCCAGAATTCAACTTATATCACTGAACTACAGAAATACAGGAATTTGTGTGAATTACTTGTTGCATTACAACTTCTGCAAACAACTTTTTCCAAAAAACTATTTACCTGCTAGCTTTTTGGAGCCACATCAAAATGGAAGCTATTCAGAAAAAAAAAAAACTTTCAGCTGATCATCTTTCTAAGCAACCTATGTTGTGTAATCATGTTGCTTAGCAACACAGATCATAATACAACATAATAGAGCTTGTAGTGGATTGCAAAATACTAAAGAATGAAGGACACTGCTTAGAACTTAATTCAGAGGCTGATCAGAGCTGCACATTCCACGCACATACTCTTCCACCTATTTCTGCTGATATTTTGCAGAGGGAATCCCTTTTTCGGGCTAACTTGTTTTAATGAACAATCCTTTTCTTGACCCTTTCTGCTGCTTCTCCTCCCCAGACTACAAGACAGCAAATGAATTTGACAGGAGATGAGTAATTATAACTGCAGTGTTTATGTAAGCTAGGAACTAACATTTAATATTTGGCAGCACTTTGCCATCTTCTAGACAGCATAAACACTTGCTGACACCCTTTGAACTTTCCTTCCTAAACCCCCTAAGACTAAGAAGTTTGATAAACACAAATCAAATGGAATACTTTCAAATATATGGATAGGTAATGCATAATAGCTTATCCACAACTATAAGTAAAGAATTATTGTTAACATTCCTTGTTTGAAACAGGAGAAAACACAACATGATGAAGTTAACATAAAACATATTCCTAAATAGATGCACCTATAGGGTGTTGAAAAGCAAGAGTTGCAGTGAAAGTTACAACTTAGAATACTAAAATAGGGTACAAGAGGCAATACAACAGAAAAGCTTCTCTCTTTTGGCTGTGCTGCTGCATGCTTCCATTGTGGAACATTAACTGTCTGTATAGGATTCACTGTTCAGGACATAAACTGCCAATAACCTGGGTTAGGAGGACAGCTTTAGGGATTTTTCATTAGGTGCAAGCTGCCACTGACTACATTCAATCCCAAGAAATTCCAGTTATCACTTAACCAATTCAAATTATTTTCTCAAAAATCAACTATTAAACTAGTCAAATAAAAGCATGAGCACACTCACCAACTCTGGTGGCTGCATGTCATCACAGGCATCCACGTGACACTGCATCATCTTCCAGGCACAACATAATAGGAGGAAAAGAGGAAATGAATCCAAATTAAATCCATGTCAGGGATCCATGGAGGCTTATAGGTAACTTGGCAAGCAAACACATACATACCAATATAGAGAAACATTTTTCTGCACTACTTAAACTACTACAAAGACTCAAAACAGAGCATAGACAACTTGGTGTTTTTGGTGTTGGGTTTTTTGGGGGGTGGGGTTTTTTGTTTGTTTTTGGTAATTTTAAGTGCAAGTCTTTCCTTTCAATATTTCTGCTAGGCTTCTGGTGCCCCAATTTTGACATTCTTGTAATATATACTTCCAGTATGTATTACTGGAAGTAATTGACTCTTCCTCCCAGAAGGCGGCAATGTGTAAATCTCATTGAGGTAGCCTATTTCATAGCTCCTCTCCTCTTCTTTCTCTTCCATTCATTTAAAAGAAAAGAAAAATAAAAAAATCTCATCTAATCTGTCATCTTAAGGAGTGTGCCAAACAGAACCAGAGGAGAAAAAGGTTGTTACCACAGAGATTTACCTCCCAGATTCCTATGATTTCTCTTCCCAGGAAAGAGGCTACAACAGTAAATGACTACCAGGAAGACACATTTCAGAGTGCAACATGGAAGAGTATCTTTAAGCCTTTTTTAATCCCCCCCCGCCCCCCCATGGCTGAATGTACCTAATTTCATTTAAAATTCAACTTATCAGTGGCCCTGGCTCCAAAACATTTGGAATTACAGTAGATTTTTTTTTTTTTTCAGACATAGAAATCGGCATAAAGACAGAATTGATTTGAAAAAGCAATCGTCTGCCAGGCCAACTAGAGCTCTTTAAGAGAACATGAATAATATCTGTAAATTCTGCTAACATCTGTTGGAAAACATTGTTCTGACATGCTTTCTTGATCTGAAAAGCCTCCCAATTCTTATTTCTGTCATTCTGATTAAAAAGAAAAAGTCTAAAAGAAGGTCTGTGTAATAAAATCTGCAGGGACTGTGCTCTACCAACTTTCTATTCCATTGTTGATGGCAGGTAGGGAAAACAACCAACCAACCAACCCCCACAAATCAAAACCACACAGCAGATCACATCCCAAATACCCTTTACACCCCAAACAGTTGTCTTCTTGGGGGGACCATTTGTATGGCCAAAACATTTTGGTGATATCAAAGTTTATCAGAAGCACACATGCCCCACGCTTAAATGTATGTATTCAAGAACAGTTTCCTCAGATATTCAAAGTGCTAACTGTATTTACTAAACAAAACAATATGAATTTTAACTCCTACCATTCCATCATAACGGTCTCCAGGTCTACCCCTTCGGTCATAAGACATAAGATCTCTAAAATGAAAAAAAGCAGCAGTATACGACTTGTTATAAACTAGTTTATATATTCTAGTTCAAATTTTCATGATTTGCACACGACTATGAATTTCTAAATGCTTTAGCCAAGTTCTGAATGACATAAAATAAAGTTACAGAACTACTGACTATAGTCCTGATAGACTGCTACATTGCAGAAATAATTAAATTCAAATACTTTTCAAAATTCTCTGGTGCAATGCACACTCAATCCCGCATAATCACTACCAATATGGAGTGTGAAACAAGTCCTGGAAACACGAGCGCAATTCAGCAAATTTTACTCAACTTGAGTTTTGTACAATACATTTATCCAACAACTTACCCGCCACGAGGAGGTGGTGGAGGAGGAAGAGGAAGATTACGAGCTCTGCTGCCACCTCTGCCACCACGACCTGGCGGTGGTGGTGGAGGTCCTCTGCGAGGGCTCATATCATCATAATCTCTTCTTGATGGAGGCATAGGTCGTCCACCACGACCAGGAGGCATTCGATCAAAGCCTCCTCTTCCACGCATTGGAAAGCCTACTGGACGTCCCCTTCTATCGTCAAACATCATTGTGAAGCCACCATAGTCATATGTTTCATCATAGAAATTGGGATCATAAGGCTGGGCCCGTCCTTTAATTGGAGACTAAGACACACACAAACACACAAAAAAAAAAAAAAACCAAAAAACAAACAACCAAAACCAACACCACCACCCCCGGTTAGCACTATTACAATTATTATATTTCATTAAATTACTATATTAAATGCATAAATATGGATTTATACATTCTGAATACGTTCTTGATTTCACAATGCTGATAAGAAAGGCAGGGATGGTAATATGCATCCTGAGAACTTAACTAGAGAAACTGCTGTTACTGATGGGTGGCACGTACATTTGTCTCACTTCCTCCCCAATTTAAAATTTCTTATTTTACTGATATGTAAAGCATGACTAACAGTCCACTGGTACCAAAAGTTGCTTCCCTCTCCCATAAGGTACACCCCAATTCTAGAAAACAGGAATAATTTCAAAGGGTGCTAACAGTCCAACGCTTATTTTGTTACCAGAGAAGTAAGAGGCACTGAATTCAAAATAGAAATGGAAAGATATAATTTTCCATCCAAATCATCCCAACTTTCATGAATACCAATGAAAGAATAATAAGTTTAAGACATATTACCTCAGAGATAAGATCCAAGATAATCTTGATACATTCCACAACTCTATCAGGTTTTCCACCAATAAGCACCACTCTATCAGTGGAATGAGGACAACACTCTTGGAAAAGCTTAATGGTGGTCTGAGTGTTCTGTTGAACAGAAGAAAAAAAAACCCACCAAAATCTTCAAATAGAAGTATTTTAAACAATTTTATAAACTTATTGAAAACAAAATAGGTAAGACACACACTAAAACATTTTTTGAAGAAACAATCAAACCAGATCATTAAACTTCCAGTCATTTTAACTGAATGTTTGCTTCTGAGTTCTTACAACAAATTTAATCTTAGGATATTACATTTTTAAGACCTGCAATGACATCAGTTTGTATGAAATGCTAGTGAAGAGGAAAAAAGTTTAATTTTTAAAATCTTTCAATTATGGCTCATCTACATGGTCATTTAATCAAATATTAGCAAAAGGAACACATATCCATTATAAGCTTACAGGTTATATAAACCTTCATATGTCATAAAAACATGCTTTGGATGCAAGACAGCAATGTTGCCAGGATTATGTCTAGTCATCTTACCTTCCTCAGTCCACACAAATAGTAGCTTACGCCTAAACTGACCTGGAATTGCCTTTGACACAATGCCAGGAAAGGATAGAAAACAACACTCTAGATTCAGAGACCACTAGCTTTTTAGAACAAAACCTCATTCCTTCACAAAGGAAACTGAACTGTGGTCTTCAAGGAAGTGGAACTTAAAAAAAACAAAAAACCTCCCAACCCCCCCCCCCCAAACCAAACAAAACCCCCCACCCACCAACCCCCCCAACAAAAAACTTTATTAAATTATCTGTTAAATTACCATCATTAGTTTATGGAGATGCGTCCATGCTAAACCATTTTCCATGTCCAACACCACCAATATAGTCTATTAAGCAGTTCATTCCAGAATGAGTGATGAATGGCATTTTAATTTTAAAAAGTATCCTTTATTTATAAAGATTACTCTACTGCTAATATGTTTAAAAGCTTTATAAGAAGTCCTAGGCTCTATCACCAACAGCCACTTTCTGACTTTTTGCAAGGAAGTTGTAATAAGTAACTCCGATCCCAGAACACAGAAATCATGTATGAAATATGTTCTGACGGAATTATTGCAGATGATGCTTACACTCACTGTTTATGAACACAAAAACCTAATTTGTTTATAAAATAAAAGCAGAATCTGAAAAGAATAGGAAACAGTACCTCTCTGAGTTCTTTGATTTTAGCACCCTTGACACCAATAATTCCTCCTGCTAGACTTTGGTGAATTAGAAGTCTTAATTCACAGTCAAAGTCGCTACCTTTGTAGTGTTGATACTGTAAGATGCATACAAGGAAAGAATAAAATATTAGTCAGGGGAAAAAAATAACTGAAAAATCAAAATACTAGTTTTGTTTTTTTGTTAAGGTTTTTCTCCAAACACCATGGTATGACTTAATTTGCTGCTGAACTGTAATGCTGTATTTGCTACGATAGAATCACACCTATTTAAGTACTTTGCCTCAACATGAGGTGATGTCAAATTAGTTTTCCTTATTTCTTTTATTATTGTATAAAATTTTAAGATATCAAACAGCGCAACACACTTGCTTACAAAGCCAAGGCAGAATGGAAATTACAATACAAATACCTCAAATTGGGGACTAAACAAGTCAGAAGACAGGTGTTTTGAAGGGGAGGAGGCTGTTCCAAATATTAATTTCTAGGAAGATATTGTCTCTGTCCTCTACCAAAAAAAATGCCAACGTGTAGTTTGAGAGCTATAGGCCTCCTTTCAAAACAGGCTGGGTTTTATTTTCTAATTTAACATATTAAAAATAGCACACAATCATCTAGAATTATCTTGTTTTTAAAATCTAAATTTATACATCTGAAGAAGAAACAAACCTAAGAGACATACCTCTTCTAAAGTAGGGATAATCTTCTTCAAGATTTCTCCAATTGTCTCTGTATCTGCACTTATACTCAAGATGCTATTAGAGGCCATAGTGTCAGAAAATATGGAGAAGGTGGAAAAGTAGTAGAAGTTTAGTATTCATAATCATACACAAAATTCTAACAAGACTGACTACACAGAAGAACTTAAAATTAATATTCCCCATTTAAAGTAAACCTGTTCACTGGATTTAGAACACATGCATCTTTGTTTATGCCCAATGTATATGCATGATGAATTTAAGACTAGGTAGGTCTTGCAGAGAGAGCGAGCAAGCAAGAGCTTTTAGAAGGGCCCAGATTAAGTGGGCAAGAAATCGACGTAGAACCGAAAGTAGAAGTGAATATTCATGTTCCCCACCACCACTAATTTAGTATACCCTCACCATTACATTGGTAAAACTGGCACACCTTCTTGTAGAAAAAGTGGGGATATGCAAGTGGTCAACATTATATCTGGAGTAAGGTTGAGAGACCAGTTAGAAATTAGATTACTAACGGGCTCTGCAAAAAAGGAATATAAATACAAGGAAAAAAACCCCAAAACAAAAGACCCCCTCCAACAAACAAACAAAAACGTAACACAAATGAGAAGTGAAGGAAAGTGAACTAGAGTTAGTATTTTATCAGAAATAATTATGAACAGACAATGTTGAGGGGAGCAAGGTGGGCCACAAAGACAGAGCAAGAGACTCTTGAAACAATTTGATTTATAATGCAGTGAATATGCAACACTTGAAGCTGTGCCCCTTCCATTAAAATAAAATGAGTGGATTATTTGGGGTCAAAAAGACTTAATGGGGAAAATAAGACAGAAAACTTTAAAAAACAATACACGGTCTATAAGGGGATACTATTTAATTATATAAAAGGCAGGTAATAAAATACATTTCTCTCTTTCTAATCAGGCAGTGAGGCATAAACTGTTGGGACATACCGCTCGGGGCCACTGCTGTCTGGGACTGAAACACTGGCATTGTACTGCATTGGTCATTGGCGTTCGTGGATGTTGGCATTGGGCATGGGTATTCAATCGGAAGTTGTCAAGTATGGTACCCGTTTGGCAACGAGCACATTTTTGGGCATAGCCAACCAGGGTTTTCACATGGGCGTTCAGGGGCGGATGGGCCAACGTCATGGTGGGCAACGCAGGGGCAAGTCGATCCAGTACATGGGTAACGGAGATATATGGCCAAAAAAAACAAGGAGAGGGAAAAGGGGGAAAAGCAATAAATTTTAATTTAATACAAACTATACTCATTACTCTCAGTTAATGAAACAAGCTTAAGTTGTTCTGAAGACTAACACAATAATGGATTGCTACATCGACTGTGGCTTAACAGTATGGATCTTAATGAATTACTTTATCTGACTAAACTACTTTTTACTTTTAACATAATAATGTTTCAGTAGCAGGCTGGCTCATGAATGTAGACACAAAAAAAAAAAACCAAACAACTGTTGAGATCCATATTACTGAAACCTTGGGCAAGTTGGGAAAGTTACTATTCCAGACCAATTAAATTATCCAGACTTCGGTGACGTATTTATTTACTTAAAGCAAACAAACAGAAACACTAGCTGCCAAAGTTAGCAAGTATATGTATGATTCCTGACCATTTCAGCTTAATCCTCAATTCTAGTTGCTATAGTTTGTGAACTTAGATAGAACTAATTCTGTAATGATATATTAGCAAATATTGTGTTGAACACAGCCTTGCTTGAAAAAATTGCTGAAATTGTAGCTGATGCTAAGTACGGGAGTGTAAACAAATGGAATTTAAGAAGCATTGCCAAGTTTTATAACATTTACGCTGAACATGCGTCTAATCACAAAAGTCAACCCACTATAAAATATGAATAGGTAAGTAAGTCATGACCATTTAAAAATGCTTCCAAGTAACAGAATGTTTCTTTACTGTTCTATACCCGTATTTAAATCATGCAACCTTAACATGAATGTTTTTGTGCTTTATGTCCAAGCTGTTAAAGAACAGATGGACCGTTATGGTTGGGTTTTTTTGTTTTGGTTTGGTTTTTGGTTTTTGTTTGTTTTTTTTTTTAAAAGGAAGCTAAAGAATTCCTCTATCACTGGGTTAAGCCAGCTACCTGCAGTAGTTTTCAATAGTACTATAACTGATTCACACATATGGGAAATAGTACAGTTAAGGGTTTTAAGTTTTGCCAATATTTCTAATTAAAGATGTTAACTCATTTGAAGTGTGTAATTTAGAGGAACCCTGTTTGAAAGCAGAGGTTTAATATAAACCTCTCCTCCCACATAACTCAAGCTGGGTTTTAATTACAACACAAACTGAAAAACTAAAGTTATCTCCTCTAACAATCATTATAAATGGCTTATAATTAGATTATTGTTGTCTAGATTTGAATTTCTCAATTTCTAGAAATGTATGCAATCAAATTTTCAATGTAGTGCTCTGAAAGAATTGGTGTTAAATTAATTCAAACTCATATATACTCACATCTGTACGAAGTGCCTTAATATTTTTGCCACCTTTTCCAATCACTGCTCCAGCATTCTGGAAAATAGTTTTCAGAAGTTATGTTACGCTAATACAGCACAGACTACATTTTTAAACTGAAGACTAAGCACAATGTATCTATTTCTGCATTACCTTGTGGGATGCATTTAGGGGTGGGGTGGGGCTTGTTTTGCCTTTGAAAGGTTCAAATTAAATTGAAACATAAACTGACATGGTTTTACCATGGGGGGGAAAAAAGGTCAAAACACCTCTTACCACTGGACTTTGGAAAGAGATAAAAATACTCAATAATATTATTTCAATTTCAAATTTAAGTTTCTAGGCAATTCTGCCTGTGTTAAAACCATCTCACAGTTAGAATATGACTGAAAAAATACCTTATGGGATTCCATGCATGTTATGTAGGTCAAGGATTTTCCTAATTTATTTGATCACTTTTTTTTTTTTTTTAATGTTTGCAAATTTCACTTTCGCACTCCGAACATTTGATAATTTTAAATGCTACTTTTGGTTTAAACCTATGTAACTCAACTGACCGCTCAGGTAGGTACAGTCTGAAGAATGTAAAGCCAATATAAACAATCGCTAATCTCCAGTTGCTAAAATCAACAGGAATAAACTCAGATATTCAAGAGGGGCAATTGTAAAACTACATTTTTACCAGGCTATTTCAAGAACTACATGAAAAATTATTGTTTTTATTATGCAGTTCATACATGATGCTAACAGCACCGCAAACATTTTGCAGCACTCCATGTAACTTGACTATTCATCAGAAATGCCATGCAGAGTTAAGGTAATATTCCCCTGCTCCGACACAAAATACTGAGTTACTTCAAACAGCGCAAACATCTGTAACAACTGGAAACATTAAAGGAGATCCATAAATAGAATAGCAATTATGACAATTTATACTAGTCAATGAAGCAATTGCAATCCCTGAAACATTACTCCCATATTTCCTCCTGTTGTGTTGAACAGATTTACTAAATCTGGGAAAATTACTACAATCCTGAAGAAGTTCTCATCTTGCCTCTCATATTTAAATTACAATCATAAGCTGATCATTCCCTAAACTGCTTGCTTTCTAAAGACTAATACACAGTCATTTCCCGGAAACAATTGCATTCCACTCAAAAAGAAAAGTGGCTTATAATTTCTATTGCTTTATTTTTTCAATGAATACATTTTTTTTAAATCAGAAAAGTCCCATAGATCATTAAAGACTCATCCTTGAAAAAAATTTATTGAAGATAATACCATTGCAATACACTTCTACTATCATTCATGCACACTTACAAATATTCCTAATAAGTTATTTTATATTAAATAAAGCACACGTCCTTTCTAAACATACACCACAACATACACTTTGTCACCACTGTCTTCAGCAATGGTATAAGCAGGAACATAGCAATACTGAAAAAGCATACTTTGCTTTGAAGCAAGATACGTAATTCAACCATCTCATCTGTATTCCGAGATCTTTTGAAGGCCTGTTCTTCTTCCATATCTTCTGCAGGACGTTTGCCTGTAGACAGGTCCATAGTGGGGAAAACACAAATATATATTTAACTTTCTAAGTCACAATAAAATTGTACATCAAGCTTATGCACTGTATTCCTAATGAAGCATTCCTTCCCATTAGCCCAGCACTAACTTCTGACATCTACCCCGAGTATCTATAGCACAGAAACAGGTTTTTACTTCATCAGCCTACATATCAATTAATTATTGAAGACTCATTCCAAATCTATGAACTGCAGTTGAAATGAGACTTTTGCAAACTTAGTGAAAAATTTACAACATGTTGTTTAAAGCAGTGCTGCATCACCTACCTATTATTTCTTTTACAATTGGGAAAACCTTAAAGCCCATAAGATCAAAAGTAGTTTGTCCAATACTGAAATACTGGTGGAACAACAGAAAAGCAGTATTTCAAATAGCTTTGAAAAAACGGCATGAATCAACTCAATGCTAATGCCCTAACTCTTCTTCACTAATTATGTCCAAAACATTTTTCATTTAGCTAATATTTAGAGATATTTCACACGTATATATACATTCCATATTATTTCAATTTCAAATTTAAGTTTCTAGGCAATTCTGCCTGTGTTAAAACCATCTCACAGTTAGAATATGACTGAAAAAATACCTTATTTTTCTAATTTATTTGATCACTTTTTTTTTTTTTTTAATGTTTGCAAATTTCACTTTCGCACTCCGAACATTTGATAATTTTAAATGCTCCTTTTGGTTTAAACCTATGTAACTCAACTGACCGCTCAGGTAGGTACAGTCTGAAGAATGTAAAGCCAATATAAACAATCGCTAATCTCCAGTTGCTAAAATCAACAGGAATAAACTCAGATATTCAAGAGGGGCAATTGTAAAACTACATTTTTACCAGGCTATTTCAAGAACTACATGAAAAATTATTGTTTTTATTATGCAGTTCATACATGATGCTAACAGCACCGCAAACATTTTGCAGCACTCCATGTAACTTGACTATTCATCAGAAATGCCATGCAGAGTTAAGGTAATATTCCCCTGCTCCGACACAAAATACTGAGTTACTTCAAACAGCGCAAACATCTGTAACAACTGGAAACATTAAAGGAGATCCATAAATAGCAATTTTACTATGACAATTTATACTAGTCAATGAAGCAATTGCAATCCCTGAAACATTACTCCCATATTTCCTCCTGTTGATACATACAGATTTACTAAATCTGGGAAAATTACTACAATCCTGAAGAAGTTCTCATCTTGCCTCTCATATTTAAATTACAATCATAAGCTGATCATTCCCTAAACTGCTTGCTTTCTAAAGACTAATACACAGTCATTTCCCGGAAACAATTGCATTCCACTCAAAAAGAAAAGTGGCTTATAATTTCTATTGCTTTATTTTTTCAATGAATACATTTTTTTTAAATCAGAAAAGTCCCATAGATCATTAAAGACTCATCCTTGAAAAAAATTTATTGAAGATAATACCATTGCAATACACTTCTACTATCATTCATGCACACTTACAAATATTCCTAATAAGTTATTTTATATTAAATAAAGCACACGTCCTTTCTAAACATACACCACAACATACACTTTGTCACCACTGTCTTCAGCAATGGTATAAGCAGGAACATAGCAATACTGAAAAAGCATACTTTGCTTTGAAGCAAGATACGTAATTCAACCATCTCATCTGTATTCCGAGATCTTTTGAAGGCCTGTTCTTCTTCCATATCTTCTGCAGGACGTTTGCCTGTAGACAGGTCCATAGTGGGGAAAACACAAATATATATTTAACTTTCTAAGTCACAATAAAATTGTACATCAAGCTTATGCACTGTATTCCTAATGAAGCATTCCTTCCCATTAGCCCAGCACTAACTTCTGACATCTACCCCGAGTATCTATAGCACAGAAACAGGTTTTTACTTCATCAGCCTACATATCAATTAATTATTGAAGACTCATTCCAAATCTATGAACTGCAGTTGAAATGAGACTTTTGCAAACTTAGTGAAAAATTTACAACATGTTGTTTAAAGCAGTGCTGCATCACCTACCTATTATTTCTTTTACAATTGGGAAAACCTTAAAGCCCATAAGATCAAAAGTAGTTTGTCCAATACTGAAATACTGGTGGAACAACAGAAAAGCAGTATTTCAAATAGCTTTGAAAAAACGGCATGAATCAACTCAATGCTAATGCCCTAACTCTTCTTCACTAATTATGTCCAAAACATTTTTCATTTAGCTAATATTTAGAGATATTTCACACGTATATATACATTCCTTCAAAATAACAACTGCGGTAAATAAAATACAGTAATAGGTATGCCTGACAGTACTTTTACACGATCACACTGTCCAGACAAGTACCAAGTATTTAGCTATCAAATATTTTCAAATCCTTAGTTACAACTTTTAGTTACTTATGCCACGTCTAAAATACTCCCAAAGAAAAATTATGTATTCGCGATACAAAAACCACGTAAAACCATACGGGACACTTAAAAATTAAAAGATTAAATGCAAAAATGCTGCCAATACAAACGTTTGATACAGTTAAAGCATTCCAAAATAGTTCGAAATACTGAGACTTAAAAAGGTTCTTTCCCTCCCAAATAAAATAAAATAGCCCTTTAAAAAAATTTACCATTTGTCTCTGTGTTAGTAAAGGTCTCCTCCTGTTGTTCAGTCTCCATTACCTTTTATTCTTAGGTATGCAGATAAAACCTGTTGCAGAATAAAAAAAGCTAGTACATCTATTTTGTGGAGAGGGAAAAAAAAAAGCAAACTGTACATCATACTAAAGGGAAAAACAAAAAGAGATGCCCGCTTTTAGAACTTACCGGTTTTATATACGCTTGCAGAGCAAAACTCAAGTGTTTTGGGCAGGATCAAAACTCAACAGCCTACTGCTTCAGAAGCCTATGAAAACAGCATAGATCAGGCTCTGTTTACTTACAGGTCTGATTCTCGCTACAACTAAAAATGGGAGTTTGACCCGAGTTTTTGCTGCAAAACTTTTCTTTATAAATGAGAAAACATAACAAGGCCAAACACATCACTAAGAGGAGAAATAATAATCAAGTCTGTAAAGTTACAGATAAATAATTACAGTCTGAATGATTCTGGACTTGCTCAGTTTTCAAGCATTTGCTAGTTTTAAGCAATCACATCTACTGATGATGATTTTCAGATATTTAAAGTGAACAATTATCCGGTTCCTATTTTTAGCATGTTATATAATACATATAGTGAATTTCCTTTTTAAGAGACACTATGTATCAATCTGCTTATTGTTTAGTTCTAAACATTTAGACTAAAATGTTGTTATTATAATCACCAGCATTAATTTCATAAGTTCTCTATCAACTTACTATCAGACATTCTATCATGCCTTCCATTCAATATAACAGATGAACAAAATAAATTACACACAAGCCACACTAGAAAAATTCTGTTAAAAAATACCACATTGTAGTTATGTATAACCTCTGCATACATGCACAAAGAATCTCAAAAGCAGCTGAACTTTTTTGACTTTGTGAAACAGGTACCTCTTTCAAGATCTATTTTTGTTAAGTCCACATGAGAATACTTGTAAAACACATAAGAAGTCCAGGCAGAACAATTTTACACCTTATTCTCTTAAAAAAATCATTTGTACAGATAACAGTCAAACAAAGAATGCTATTTTTCCCCCTTTGGATTTTATTGCTCAACTTCCATAGCCTGAACAAACGGTTGACACTTACGTATCCACGAAGAAAAAGTGAGGTATGTTTAACTTTTTAAAACATCCTTTCAATCATCTGTTAATTTGTAAGTTACCCTGTTTGTGCAGGCTGACAGCATGCACTGCCGGTAGGCATGCACTCTTTTACAGCCGCTGCTGAGAGACCGCCTTCCCAGCGCATGCTAGTATTTCCAGGCCCCTAATTTGAGCTAATGGAAAAGTGCCGCTTACAGAATAGCCAAGTCTCAAACAGACGTTGCCAGAGCGCGGGGGGAAGGAGGAAAGAGAAATTTCACCAGGTTCAAATGGCTAGCCCAGACCCTCTTCTATTCTGTTCCAGACCCTATTCTATTTACGACCCTCCCAAAAATTTGAGAGCTGCGGGGAGACGAAGTGTAATACAGTGTTCAGGACAAGGTGCTCTCAATTAGTTACTGTGCTCTGTTGAGTAAATCAAGTTTGCGGGATTAAATTGACTAACGCAATGGTTTTTAAAACATCGAAAGTATAAAGCGGCCGCGAACACGAGTAGAGGGCTGGGAGATGCCTGCGCGTCTCTACCCCGCTCCCTCCGGGACGAACAGCCCTTCCCGCCCGGACACCTCCCCTTCCGCAGCCAATGCGCAAGCCGCGCCACGGTCTGCTCGCGCACAGCCAGCCGGCCCACCCGCCGCCGCAGAGCG